TGGGAATGGTGGTCCCAACAATGGGAATGGTGTTCCTGGGATGGGAATGGGGGGTGGGCTTGGGGTGGTGGCCCCACCTTCATCCCCAAACCCGTCAGCTGGGCCGACGAGACCGATGACCTCGATGGTGAGAGATCCCGGGATCGGCATTCCCAGGAATGGGAATGGTGGGCCAGGCAATGGGAACAGTGTTCCTGGGATGGAATGGTGTTCCTGACAATGGGAACGGTGTTCCTGGGGTGGGAATGGTGTTCCTGGGATGGAATGGTGTTCCTGGGATGGAATGGTGTTCCTGGCTCCCAAATTGTTGTTCCCAGGATGGGAATGGGGGGGGGGTTTGGGGGGGGATGCCTCCAGTTGACGCCAGTTGACTCCAGTTGCCTCTGGTTGGCTCTGGTTGACCCAGTTGACTCCGCTTGACTCTGGATGACTTCAGTTGACCCAGTTGACTCCAGTTGACTCCAGTTGAGTCTTACTGACTCCAGTTGACTCCTCCAGTTGACTCCAGTTGATTCCAGTTGACTCTTACTGACTCCAGTTGACTCCAGTTGCTTCCAGTTTCCTCTGGTTGCTCTGATTGACTCTGGTTGACACCAGTTGACTCCAGTTGCCTCTGGTTGACTCCAGTTGAGTCTTTTTGAACCCAGTTGACTCCGGTTGACTCCAGTTGACTCCTCAACACAGTTGACTCTGGTTGATTCCAGTTGACTCTTTCTGAACCCAGTTGACTCCAGTTGACTCTGGTTGACCCCAGTTGCCTCTGGTTGACTCCAGTTGACTCCAGTTAACTGTTTCTGAACACAGTTGACTCTGGTTGACTGCAGTTGACTCTGTCTGACCCCAGTTGACTCCAGTTGACTCTGGTTGACTCCAGTTGACTCTTTCTGAATCCAATTGTGTCTGGTTGATTCTGGTTGACTCTTTCTGACGTCAGTTGACTCCAGTTGACTCCTTCTGACCCTGGTTGACTCCAGTTCACTCCAGTTCACTCCTGTCCCCTCCTCCTGGGCTGTGTCCCTCCCTGACCGTCGTCTCTCCCCGCAGCCTCCACCACGTGGCACAGCAACGACGACGACGTTTACCGGGGGCCGCCCATCGACCGCACGCTGCTGCCGACGGCGCCGCGCGCCGCCCGCGAGCCCAACATCGACAGAAGCCGCCTCCCCAAATCCCCCCCGTACACGGCATTCCTGGGAAACCTGCCCTACGACGTCACTGAGGAGTCCATCAAGGATTTCTTCCGAGGCCTCAACGTGAGTCGCCTTCCGGAGGGTGGGAATGGCGAGGGAACGGCGGGAATTCCCAACCCCCTCCCCCACCCAGAGCGGTGTTCCCGGATCGTGGAGGGTGTTTCCGGTTCCGGTGTTGGCATTCCGAGCTCTGGGAGTGGCGTTGCCGCTTCCCAGACTGGAATTCCCGGCTCTGGAGTCAGCATTCCCAGCCCTCCCCCCAAGCAGAATTCCCAGCTCTGGGCTCGGCATTCCCAGCCCCTGAAGTGGAATTCCCACCTCTCAGGTTGGAATTCCCAGCTCCTGGAGCAGAATTCCCGGCTCTGGGCTCAGCATTCCCAGCCCCTGAAGTGGAATTCCCAGCTCTGGGCTCAGCATTCCCAACTCTAGGAGGCCCCAGAGCGTGAGGAACATTCCCGAGGAACCTCCTCAGTCAATCCCTGGATCTCCATCCCGGTTTCCCCCCTGCTGTTCCCGCGGGGAATCCCTGATCCCGAGGGGATCCCAGGGGCCATTTTCCCTCCCCCCTGATCCCGAGGGGATCCCAAGGGCCGTTTTCCTGCCCCGTTCCCAGATCAGCGCCGTGCGGCTCCCGCGGGAACCGACCAACCCCGAGCGCTTGAAAGGCTTCGGATACGCGGAATTCGAGGACATCGACTCCCTCTTCCAGGCCCTGAGCCTCAACGAGGAGGTGAGGCCTGGGAGTCACAGCTCATCCCTGGAATCCCATCCTATCCCTGGGAATCACAGCCCGGGGAATCACATCCTATCCCAAGGGATCCCATCCCATCCTGGGAATCACAGCTCATCCCAAGGGATCCCATCCTATCCCTGGGAATCACAGCCTGGGGAATCCCATCCTATCCTGAGAATCACAGCCCTGGGAATTCCATCCCATCCCAAGGAATCCCATCCCATCCTGGGAATCACAGCCCTGGGAATCACATCCCTGGAATCCCATCCTATCCTGGGGAATCCCATCCCAAGGAATCCCATCCCATCCCAAGGAATCCCATCCCATCCCTGGGAATCCCATCCTGTCCCCGGAATCCCATCCTTGTGAATCCCATTGTGTGGAATCCCCTCTCATCCCAGGGAATCCCATCCCAAGAAATCCCATCCCATTCTGGGGAATCCCATCCCAGGGAATCCCATCCCAGGGAATCCCATCCTGGGGAATCCCATCCCAAGGATTCCTGTGCCAGGGAATCCCATCCCATCCCTGGAATCCCATCCCAGAGAATCCCATCCTATCCTGGGGAATCCCATCCCAGGGAATCCCATCCCAAGGAATCCCATCCTTTGCCTGGAATGTCATCCCATCTTGGGGAATCCCATCCCAAGGAATCCTATCCCGGGGAAACCCACCCCATTCCCCATGAAAAGGGGGAATGGCTCCCACTGGGAGAGGGGAGGGTTTGCCGGGATGTTGGGAAGGAATTCCCAGCCCATTCCCGTTCCTGCTGCCCTTCCCAGTCTTTAGGGAACAGAAGGATACGAGTGGATGTGGCGGATCAAGCTCAGGATAAAGGTGAGGGTTGGGATTGGGATTGGGATTGGGAAGGTTTGGGAAGGGAAGGGAAGGTTTGGGAAGGGAAGGTTTGGGAAGGGAAAAGAAGGTTTGGGAAGGGAAGGGAAGGTTTGGGAAGGGAAGGGAAGGGAAGGGAAAAGAAGGTTTGGGAAGGGAAGGTTCCCTCTCCCTTTTCCCTCCTTTTCACTTTCCCTCTTCCATTTCTCTTTCTTTCCCCTCTCCCTCTCCCCTCCCATTCCCTCTCCCCTCCCATTCCCATTCCCCCTCCCCCTCCCATTCCCATTCCCACGATCCCAGACCGGGATGATCGCTGTTTCGGGCGGGACCGGGACCGTTTCCGGGACTCGGAGCGGTTGGAGAGCGACTGGAGAGCTCGGCCGGCGGCTCCCGACGCCTTCGACGACTTCCCGCCGCGCCGGGGGGACGACGGATTCGGGGACAGTGAGTGAACCCTGGGAACCATTCCCACAGGGATGGAGCTTCCCACGGGAGCCTGGGAATGCGCCCGGGCCTGGGATCTGGGGGAGGGGGTTCAGGATCTGGATCGGGAGCCGCACGGAGCTCGTTCCTGCCTGGAGCTCCTTCATTCCCACCTGGAGCTCCTTCATTCCCACCTGGATCCCCTTCATTCCATGAGCTTGTTTCCACACGGAGCTTCTTCATTCCCACCTGGATCTCCTTCATTCCCACGTGGATCTCCTTCATTCCCACGTGGAATTTAGTGATTCCTGGAATCCATTCCCACCATGAATGAGCTCATTCCCACCTGGATCCCCTTCATTCCATGAGCTCGTTCCCACCTGGAGTTTGGTGATTCTTGGAATCCATTCCCACCTGGATCTCCCTCATTCCCAGACCTCCCTGGCTCCCACCTTGACCCCCCCCTCTTTTATTCCCACCTGGATCTCGCTCCCGGAAAATCAGGGCCTCCCCTCTCCCACCCGGAGCGGCGCCGGCGTTCCCTGTTTTCCGTGGGGTCCCCGTGCCCATTCCCACAGATCCCATTCCCGTTCCAGGATACCGGGATCGTTACGATGACCGGTACCGGGATGGGCCCCGGCGGGACATGGATCGAGGATTCGGGAGCCGGGATCGCTACGACGACCGGAGCCGGGACTACGACCGAGGTGGGACATTCCCAAGGGAATTCCGGGGGGGAGAGAACAGGAATGGGACATTCCCAAGGGAATTCCAGTGTCCTACAGGGTGGGAATGTGGGCGTTCCCGGCTGGATCCATCCCGGTGTTCCTTAGGATGGGACTGTGATCATTCCCAGTTTTCCATAGGGTGGGACTGTGATCATTCCCAGGTGTATCCCGGTTTTCCGTAGCGTGGGTTTGTGCTCATTCCCTTTTTTCCTTAGAGTGGGACTGTGCTCATTCCTGGGTGTATCCCAGTTTTCCGTAGGGTGGGACTGTGCTCATTCCCAGTTTTCCATAGGCTGGGACTGTGCTCATTCCCAGCTGCATTCCCGGTTTTCTTTAGGGTGGGAACGTGGATGTTCCCAGTTTTCCTTAGGGTGGGACTGTGCTCATTCCCAGTTTTCCTCAGAGTGGGACTGTGCTCATTCCCGGTTTTCCGTAGGGTGGGTCCGTGCTCATTCCCAGTTTTCCTCGGGGTGTGTCCGTGCTCATTCCCAGTTTTCCTCAGACTGGGACTGTGCTCATTCCTGGCTGTATCCCGGTTTTCCATGGGCTGGGACTGTACTCATTCCCAGGTGTATCCTGGTTTTCCTCAGGGTGTGTCCGTGCTCATTCCCGGTGTTCCTCAGGCT